GCCTCCAGGAACCAAACTAACTCACCAGAATTTATCAGATGGTACATGTAACGCTAAGAAGGAAGCCATCTGTGCAGCAAAGATAACTGGCTTTGCAGATGTCCCTGCAAACAGTGAAAATGCCCTTCTTGCCGCAATAGCTCATCAACTTGTTTCTGTTGCCATTGATCCTAGTGGTTTCGACTTCTAATTCTATTCAAGTGGTGTCTTTACGGGAACCTGTGGAACGAGCCTTGACCATGGTGTTACCGCTGTTGGTTCTGGCGTGAGTGAGGATGAGACTAAGTATTGGCTAGTGAAGAACTCATGGGGTGCAAAATGGGGTGAAGCTGGGTACATAAGAATGCAGAGAGATGTTGCTGCGGCGGAAGGACTTTATGGCATTGCTATGGCTACCTCTTACCCCACAGCTTAGTTAATTTTACCATCAACAATTAAATCAATGCCTACTATATATATGCGTTGTAGGCACTATGAGATCTAAGAAACTCCTATGTAAAATACTTGTAAGATCTACGTATTTTGGTTGCAAGAACTAGCCATTTATTGATCTTACCCGAATTATTTGGTTGCAAGAACTAGCCATTTTTCCATCCTTTTATAAATTGTTAATAGCTAACTAAATCATTCGGGTAAGATCAGTGTGGCAGTTTATTCTTTATTGAATTTGTGGCCAAATTACATTGGGCCTTAAGTTAATCTCACTAGCCCATTAAGTGGGCTTTTTATTTAGCCCATTTGAAAAGCCACGGGTGTGGCTAGGGTTTTAATTGGCAGTAGTAGCAGCTGCCTTTGTTTTTTAGCGACAGAAAAGAAGAAAAAAGGGTGCGCAACTCCCATTTGAAGAGAGGAAAGAAAGATGATTTTCTTTCTTTGTTAGTACTTACTCAATCAAGGGTGCGCAACTCCCATTAGGTGAGCTTCTACTGCTCTGAGGACGTACTCCAGTTACACTGGCTATTGAGGAACCTCGTTAAAATCTTGGTGTCTTTTATATTATGTTCTTGCATTGCATTTGATATATTTCCTATGGTTTAGCTTGAGTTGGTTCCAATTGGTTTGGTGCTAGCACAACAATTGGTATCAGAGCATTGGTTGCTCTTGGGTATTGTCTAGTTGCTAAAGATGTTAGATGGGCAAGATGAGAATCATTTTGGAAGCAGCTCTGGGTTTGCAAGAACTATGGTGCAAAATGAGAAGTTTGAAGTGGAAAAATTTGATGGCACAAACAACTTCGGGATGTGGCAATGTAAGGTAAAGGATGTGTTGGCTCAACAAGATATGCTTGCCGCTTTGGGAGATAAGTCGGAAGCTATGTCGAAGTCAGAATGGGAGAAATTAAATTTGTGGGCTTGCTTTACAATTCGGTTGTGCCTTGCAAAAACTCAGAAGTATTTTGTGATGCGGGAGACATTGGAAAATGTGTTGTGTCAAAAATTAGAAGACAAGTACATGACGAAGAGTGCAGAGAACCGGCTACACTTAAAGAAAAAGCTCTACCGCTTCCAATATAAAGAAGGTACAAAAATGATTAGACACCTTGATACTTTTAATAAGTTGGTTGCTGATTTGATGAATTTAGATGAGGATATTAAGGATGAAGATAAAGCCTTAATATTGTTGAATTCTTTGCCGGACTCTTATGAGCATTTTGTTACCACTATTATGCATGGTAAAGAAACTGTGAAATTTGAAGATGTGTCAATTGGCTTAATGAATTATGAAATGAGGCATAGAGATAAAAATCATGATAGTACCTTTGAGGCTTTGGTTGTTAGAGGTAGGTCATCAGAGGAGAGCTTTTTCTGGTAAGAAAAAATCACTTTCTCGACCTAGAGGAACTTCTAAAGGTAGAGAAAGTTTGGAAAGGGATGAATGTGCTTTTTGTCATAATAAAGGCCATTGGAAGAAAGATTGTCCTAGGTTGAAGATCCTTGGCATGGAGATCATTAGAGATAGAGAAAAGGGTTTGGTATGCTTGAATCAAAGACAATACCCTGAGAAGTTGATTCGGAAGTTTGGAGTTCATGATTCAACCAAACTGGTTAGTACTCCTTTGTCTCCTCATTTTAAATTGTGTTCTCTACAATGTATAAAACTGATAAGGAGAAGCTGCAAATGAAAAATATACCATATGCAAATTTGGTTGGTAGTTTGATGTACGTAATGGTATGCTCTAGACCGGATATTGCTCATGCAGTTGGTATGGAGAGTCGATATATGCATAATCCTGGTAAAGAGCATTGTCATGTAGCTAATTGGATATTAAGGTATCTCCATGGTACTCGAGATGTTGGTTTATGCTTTGAGAGGGATGGCTCTGGTATTGGTCACTTTGCAGTTGGTTATGCTTTCAGATTATGCAGATGATTTGGATAAAAAGAAGTCTACTACAAGCTATGTGTTTACTATGGCTAAAGGGCCAATTTGTTGGAGGTCCATTTTGCAGTCTTCTGTTGCCTTGTCCGCTACAGATGCTGAATATATGGTTGTTGCCGAAGCTATAAAGGAGGCCATTTGGATACATGGACTGATTAGAGATTTGGGGGTTGATTAGAAACAGGTGGAAGTGCATTGTGATAGTCAGAGTGCCATTTATTTGGCTAAGTATCAGGTTCATCATGTGAGGACCAAGCACATAGATGTGCATTATCACTTTGTTCGTGAAGTTGTTGGTGAACGGGATATCATTCTCCAGAAGATTCCAACTAAAGACAACCCTGTTGATATGTTGACAAAGGTTGTTGGTGTAGCCAAGTTTGTTCATTGCTTAAACTTGGCTCACATTTTACCTATATAAAGAAGGAGTTAAGCAGTAGGAGCTTTGGAGCATTTTGGCTAGGCTTGAGTTATTCTCTTGCTACTTTCTAGAGTGGTTTTGTGTTGATTGTTGATTATGTTGGTTTGGCTCATCATGGCGCTTTCGGAATTTGGCCAAGGTGGAGATTGTTGGATTTATGGCCAAATTACATTGGGCCTTAAGTTAATCTCACTAGCCCATTAAGTGGGCCTTTTATTTAGCCCATTTTGAAAAGCCACGGGTGTGGCTAGGGTTTTAATTGGTAGCAGCAGCTGCCTTTGTTTTTTAGCAGCAGAAAAGAAGAAAAAAAGGTGCTGCAGCTTCCATTTGAAGAGAAGAAAGAAGGGTGATTTTCTTTCTTTGTTAGTACTCACTCAATCAAAATTGTATTTGCGTATCAGCTTTGAGCTTTGTATAGAGAGGAAATTATTCACTATATTCTCTTATCTATTTGTTTCTTTGGTGAGTGAGAGTTAGTGAGTGTATTGGGGTTTTGGGTTGTGAGATTGCCAACACTTTGTAAACTCCCATTTGGTTGATAGTGGATTATTGGGTGAGCTCCTATTGCTCCAAGGACAGGACGTACTCCAACTACACTGACTATTAAGGAACCTCATTAAAATCTTGGTGTCTTTTATATTACATTCTTGCATTTCATTTGATATATTTCCTGTGGGTTAGCTTGAGTTGGTTCCCAATTGGTTTGGTGCTATCCTAGCACAACAATTGTTATCATTTAAAGAATCCTAGGGATTGCAATATTCTAGACGGATTTTGAGCAACCGCACACTAGGGCGATTCAAATTCATCTAAATTACAGAAGGGAGGGAGATAGTCTAATTCGAATGATGATGAAGACCAATCGACAAGAGAAATCCACTAGTTTTTGTGAAGTTACAAATTTTGGTCTCCACATTTGTAGAGTCCACTGTAGATGCTCTAATCGTATCATTTTCATTTGTTCGAGTAATATCGCGCTGGTGCTTGTTCTTATACCCTGCGTTGTCTTCCATGATTTTCCCAAGTTTATGTCAATATTATTGTATTCTAATAACCTAAGCAACACTTACGTGACTGCCAATTTGATGTTTCATATGTGCCCACACTACACATATTAAGTTTGAATATCATTTTGTTTGTGAGCGGATCCATTTGGGTTCTCATCAAGTTTATTACATACCATCTGACGATTATCCAGCTAAAATTCTCACCAAAAGGACTGTACAAGTATCACTTGTTCGTATTCTGGCCAAAATTGTCTCTTCCCGGTTGTCGTTGGGGAGAATACCCTCTTAGTTAGGATTCCTTGTTATGCAAGTACTTGTAAACTAATTGTATTACATTTATTTCTCTTCAAGGAACGTGGTTCCTGATGCCCCAAGAGCTTTTGGTGCATACATGTCATGTACATTAATTGTCGGTTTGATAACCATTTAACTGTTTAGTTTTTTAAAGTTTGTCCAGTAAATACTATTAATTTTTTATAAAACATAAAATAGAAACTGAGAAAAAAAAAAACTAACGAAAAGTCGTTAAAAATTTTAGTTTTAATCAAAATGATAAAATAAAGGTATAAGTGGATAGTACTAGAAGTGTTTCATTAAGATTCCAATAAAAAAAACAAAAACAATAAACTGAAATTCAGAATTTTTTAAAACTTAAAAAAGGGTAGCTTTCGCTTTTTGGTGTTTAGTATTTAAAGTAGTTGTCAAATATGCTTTTAGTTTTCAATTTGAAAAAGAAGTGAAAATAAAAAATGGAAACGAATTGGTCAGCAAATGAACCCTTAGAAGTATAAACTCTACCCAAACACATGCATGTATAAAATAATCTATGCCAGGGTTTTCCATACATCAGAAATTTTGAAACTTCGAAGATTACAAAACCGTAATGAACGCCTTCTGAATTATAAGACATAATTAATTGTATTAGTATTATCCCTTGTTGTTTAGTTAAGGACCCATATCAACATTACCACACAAAAAGATAAAGGTTTAGCGTCAAACCCAAATTATATTAAAGATTAACATATAATCTTACAGGTCCATATCAACATACATTCTAGGGCACGTATACGTATATTGCAAATCAATTTTTGGGGCACGGCGATAGATCCATCGAGAGGCCATTATGTAGTACCTGGATCGACTAGTATATAAATCCAAGCAGCGTACCATTTCAGTATTACCTGCTCATATCATTTACTTAATCAAAACTTAGCTGCTTCATTCCAGTACACTAGCTAGCTGGCTAACATGGGGTTCATTAACCTGCAGCCGTGGAAATATATGTGCTTGAGCTTGATCCTCATGCTGGGGGCCTGGTCATCCGGAGCCACTTCTCGCACTCTACAAGATGCATCGATGTATGGGAGATACGAGCAATGGTTGACTCGTTATGGTCGCGTATATAACGACGTTAATGAGAAGGAGACTCGTTTCAAGATATTTAAGGAAAATGTGGCGTTTATAGAATCTTCTAATAAGGATGCCAACAAACCTTACAGATTAAGTGTCAATCAATTTGCAGACCTTACAAATGAAGAGTTCAAAGCCTCAAGAAATGGATTCAAGGGACACGAGTGCTCCACGAAGACTTCTTTCAAATATGAAAATTTGACTGCATCATTACCAGCAACAATGGATTGGAGAAAGAAAGGAGCTGTAACCCCCATCAAGGACCAAGGCCAATGCGGTAGTTATATAAACGTCTAGCTTATTTTTTATTTGTTCATATTAAATGGTTTTGTTTGATACTTGTTCTAACTACTTTTAGATCCAATATCAAAATACAGGATGCTGTTGGGCTTTTTCAGCAGTGGCCGCCACGGAAGGAATTACACAGCTTACAACTGGGAAATTGATCTCTTTGTCTGAGCAAGAGCTCGTTGATTGTGACACCGCTGGTGAAGACCAAGGATGTGAGGGCGGCTTGATGGATGATGCCTTCCAGTTCATCCAACAAAATCGCGGGATTAGCACAGAAGCTAATTACCCTTACGACGGCGTTGATGGTACATGTAACGCCAAGAAGGAAGCCAGCCGTGCAGCCAAGATAACTGGCTTTGAAGATGTCCCTGCAAACAGTGAAAAGGCCCTTCTTACCGCAGTAGCTCACCAACCTGTTTCTGTTGCCATTGATGCTAGTGGTTCTGACTTCCAGTTCTATTCTAGTGGTGTCTTTACCGGGACCTGTGGAACGAGCCTTGACCATGGTGTTACCGCTGTTGGTTATGGCGTGAGCGAGGATGGGACTAAGTATTGGCTAGTGAAGAACTCATGGGGTACGGAATGGGGTGAAGCTGGATACATAAGAATGCAGAGAGATGTTGCTGCGGGAGAAGGACTTTGTGGCATTGCTATGGCTGCCTCTTACCCCACAGCTTAGTTAATTTTACCATCAACAATAAATCAATATGCCTACTATATTTATGCGTTGTTGGTACTCTGAGATCTAAGAAACTCCAATGTGTAAAATACTTGTAAGATCTATGTGTTTTGGCTGAAAGAACTAGCCATTCTATTGAACTTTATATCGTAAAAGCGTAGACTTTCCTATCAAAATGGTAAACAGCTTTCCATGCATCTTTTTAATTAATAAACTGTTAACAGCTAATTAAATCATTCCGGTCCGATCAGCGTGATGGTTTATTCTTATCATTTAAAGAATCCCAGCAATCGCAATATTCTAGACGGATTTTGGGCAACCGTACACTAGGCATTCAAATTCATCTAAATTACAAGGACGGAGAGAGTTTGAACTTAAAATGCAGTGTGTTGAAGATGAATACCAATCCACAAGATAAATCCACCAATTTTTGTGAAGTCACAATTTTGGGTCTCCACATTTGTACTTTGTAGAGTCTATTGTGGATGCTCTAATCAAATCATTTTTATTTCATTACACGCTTTTCCGTTGTACAACAATCATGCCATTATGGAGTAATTTTTTAATGACCGTAACATCACTGAATTGTGTTATCAAATCTTTGTTTACGTACATGATAGAATAGCTACCTAGTTAGGATTCCTTGCTATGATTTCATCGCTTCAATTTGTTATTCGCAATGGCTTGACTTAGAGCACTGTCGACTATTCCCTTTATATGCACACACACACACACACACACACACATATGTTGTAGGCCTATTTGATTGAACGATCTATAGGGTTTAGAGAGAGGAAAAAGTGATGTAATTGTGAGGTGTGTTTGTATCACCTCATTGTGCCTTTATTTATAGTAGTAGGATAGGTAAAAACCTTTCCCCTTAGGATTACAACATTTAATAGGTAATCAACTCCTAATAGGAACATAAGATACATTCCCATATCTATTAGGATTTGCACAATCACATTCCTATTATAAATATGATTGCAACACTCCCTCTTGAGTGTGTAAATACTCAACAAACCATTGCATCAGATCTTCAGTAGATAAGGTAGAATAGTAGATGAAGTCATCGGCATAACGGATGAACGCGAGTCTCAAATTTAAGAAAGTATGCATTTGTAGTAAAACTCACAAAACCTCGCTATGGTAAAACCCAAGGGTTTGGAGAAAACCCATAGACTAATGAGAAAATTGAGAAGTATGCATAATGTCTAAAACAAACGTCAAACAGGACAAAAGTAGTGAACTCAACAGAGTATGATCATCCCAGGATGGGTGCCTCATTAAAATCTCATTAGGTAGCAAAGACCCAGTGGGAAAAATGCTTCTAATCATAGGAAAAAGAGTACATTAAGATCAAGTGAGCATGCTTCTAGATACTCCCCCTTAGTTTGATATAACTTCTAAATAAGAGAATTACAAGCGATTTAACTCAGATAATTTACGTATACCGATTCCTTGGACGAGCTTCTGCAAGTAGACTTGGGCAATGACTTGGTGAAGAGATCGGCCAAGTTGTCCTGGGAACGGATTTTCTTGACTTCAATGTTCTGATGCTGCTGCTGCTGGTGTGAGTAAAAGAACTTCGGCACAATGTGCTTGGTGTTGTCTCCCTTGATGTATCCCTTCTTTAACTGCTCGATACATGCTACATTGTCTTCAAAGATTGTCGTAGGAAGGTCAACTACTAATGTAAGACCACTAGTGCTTCGAATATGTTCCATAACTTCTCTCAACTAAAAGCATTCACGCAATGCTTCATGTAGGGCGAGAATCTCAGCATGGTACGATGAAGTCGCAACTAGCGTTTGCTTGGTAGACCTCCAAGATATAGCGGTGTCTCCAACGGTAAAGACATAGCCCATTTGAGAACGTGACCTATGTGGGTCAGATAGATATCCAGCATCTGTGTAACCAACAAGGTGAAAATCAATCTGAGGACCATAAGGGACGGCAACACTCGAAGATTCGTGGGTATAGAACAAGCCCAAATCCGTCGTACCCTTGAGGTAGTGGAAAATGTCTTTAACACCATTCCAGTGCCTGTGTGTAGGCTCATTGTTGTATCTTGCCAAAAGATTAACAGCGAAGGAGATGTCGGGTCTAGTGCATTGAGCCAAGTACAATAAAGCCCCAATTGCACTTAGGTAAGGAACTTTGGGTTCCAAAATTTTTTCCTCATCCTCCTTTAGACTAAAGGGATCTTGTTTAGCATCTAGAGTCCGAACGACGATGGGTGTACTCGAAGGCTTTGCTTTATCCTCATTAAAACATCGCAACACCTTTTGGTTGTAGTTCGATTGATGTACTAGGATTCCATCCGAACAATGCTCGATCTCCAGGCCGAGACAATATCGAGTTTTCCTAAGATCCTTCATCTCAAATTCTGATTTCAAGTGTGCAACAATTTCCTCAATCTCTGCAGGAGTCCTGATGAGGTTTATGTCATTGACATAAATTGCAACGATTGCAAATCCAGAATGTGACTTCTTTATGACCATGCATGGACATAATTCGTTGTTCACATAACCTTGACTTGTCAAATATTCACTCAGACGGTTATACCACATCCGTCCGGATTGTTTCAATTCGTAGAGTGACCTCTTTAACCTAATTGAGAGAGTGTTCCGTGGTCTAGAACTATTTTGAACTAGTTAATGGAAGTCATTTTCGAACTTTCATGTATATTTCCGTATCTAGATCCCCATAGAGATATGCAGTTACCACGTCCATAAGTTGCATATTCAGTTTTTCAGAAACTACCAAACTAATTAGGTAGTGGAACATTATAACGTCCATTACGGGGGAATACATCTCCTCATAATCAATCCCAAGGCGTTGAGAGAAGCCTTGCGTTATGAGGCATGCTTTGTATCACACTATTTCATTCTTCTGATTACGCTTCCTCACGAAAACCCACTTATAACCAATGGGCTGTGGTGTAGGAACGATAGGTCCAAACACTTTACGTTTCGCGAGCGAATCGAGTTTGACTTTGATTGCTTGTTTCCAGTTTGATCAATTGATTTTACATTGGCATTCATCGATGGAATGTGGTTCAATGTCATTGCTAAGCATGATGTCAGTAGCTATTGAGTACGCAAATGCATCGTCGATGATCATCTCATTCCTATTCCAAACCTCATCCAATATTGCTTAGTGGACCAAAATCTCACGATTCTTGGTAGACCAGCATGTTTCATCTGAAGCATCACTATAGTCTAGAATAACCTCATGCATTGGAACAAATGAGTAAGCGATGTTCAGATTCAAACTAGGGTCACTAGTTGGTGCCATTTTTCTTTTCCGGGGTTGTGAATCTTTTGAACCAAGGGGTCTGCCATGCTTCAGGGTTAGAGCAGATGATTGGCTAGCCGCCAATGTACCTTACCGTGTGGAAGGTGCGGCCTCCTCACCTTCAGGGACGGTTTGGCCTTCCCAGGCAGGTTGTGGACTTATGCGGGGTACATTTATCCTTGCAGATGCATTTGCAGCGGGTATATGTGATCTTGTTACCCTTACTAGATCATTAAAAGCATCCGGCATGTTTTGAGTAATCCTTTGAAGATCTATAATTCGTCACACCTCAGTTTCAGACTGGGCAGTGCGGGGATCTAAATGAGACATAGCGGGAGCATACTTATCTCCCCCTAACAACAGGAAGACTGTCTCATCAAAGTGACAATCCATAAAATGTGCGGTAAAGATATCTCCTGTCAAGGGTTCTAAGTAGCGAACAATTGATGGCGAATCATAACCGACAAATTCCCATTTTTCTCTGAGGACCCATTTTGGTACGTAGTGGCGGCAATATTGGCACATAAATGGCGCACCTAAACACTCGTAAATGGGAGATGTCAAGCTTGTATCTAGTGACTAACTATAACGATGAATGTGGTTGAGTAGCCGTGGGCCTCAAGCAAACCAACATAGATGTGTGCGATATTGCATAGCCCCAGGCAGATATCGGCAGTTTGGTTCTCATAACCAAAGTCCAAGCTATCAATTGAAGGTGATTTAGGAAAGCTTCTGCCAGGCTGTTTTGGGTGTGAACATGGGGTACAGAATGTTCCACATCAATCTCTACTGACATGCAATAATCGTCAAAAGTCTGTAATGTAAACTCTCTAGCGTTATCCATTCGTATCGACTTAATCGAATAATCAGAGTGGTGAGCCTTTAGCATAATGATTTGAGCTAAGAGTTTAGCAAATGCAGCGTTACATGTGGACAAAGCAAACATGTGACCATCGTGTCGATGAATCAACCAACCCCATAAAGTATTTAAATGGTTCGCATGTTGGTTAGATATGTCTACAAATGTCCCTTTGAATCCTCTAAAGATACTTAGGGGGTCGTGAATAATCTTTGTATGTGAGGCTTGAGTATTCAACTTCCTTAAAGAACACTTTTTTCATGGCGGGAGTGCAACATAGGGAGGTAACTAATGCCCATAAGATGATTTGAGGATGCAGCGCATTATGCCATGTCTAGGATGTCCCAAATGGTCATGCCAAAGCAACAAACTGTCCTGAAACTCAGGCATAGGGCCGGCCACACTGTGGGCTTCTATGCCACGAATGGTTGTGATGTACAACCCACTCGGTAGATGTTCTAACTTCTCGTGAATACACTTCTGGCCATATTTGTACAAAGTGATACAAAGAAATTTAGAACCATTGTCTTTAGTGGTTTCAATATGATATTCATTATCTCAAATATCTCTAAAACTCAGCAACATTCTTCTGGAACGTGGAGAATAGAGTGCTTCCTTAATGGATAAGATAATACCACTGAACAATATGATATAGGCCTTTCCGTATCCTTCAATCAGGTTGGATGGGCTTGAGAGAGTTGTCAAATGAGCTTTCTTGGGTATTAAGTTAGTAAAATAGTGTCGTTCATGCAAGATGGTGTGCGTGGTTGCACTATCTGTCAGACAACTAACTTCCCCACTAGACATACCTAGAAATAAATTGATTGAATTGGTCACATGCATAAATATATGTCCATTCATTCAATTAAGCAATTCAAGAAAATAATATCCATTCAAAATAAGAATCCATAATTCAAAACAAACCAAAATCAAACAAATTATTCCAAATACATAGAAAAATTGTTCAAAATTAAACCATAAACCTAGAAAATTAAGGGGGGGAAGGGCCG